AAAAAAAAATTAACTTACCCACCTCAGAGTTATACAGACGTAAGAAGAAAGGCTACATGGGTAAGATGATATCTAGCTGAGCATGAAACCATCAAATGGAGCAAGAAGCACAATACAAGGGTGTGGGGAGTGGTCCACATGCTGGCCTGAATAATCTCCATCAAAGGACAATGAAAATGAGCAGCCAAGGACAATGGGAGGTAATGGATGCGATTGGACAAAACAGAACAATTGGCAAGATTCAGGAGAAAAGGAGTGACAGCCACAGAAGTGTGCTGTGCAGGACACATAATACATTAAAGCACAGGAGACACAGGGGGAGAAAAAGCTATCTAAATCTGCATCGTCCCAATCCAGGCCCTCAGGTAATGGCAGTATTTCTTGCATATCGGAGATCTCTCGGTCCACATGAAAGAAACCATCTCCTGTCGAACTATGACTGACACTTCCTCTGCTGATAACACCACACCTGCAGCCATTGTCACAAGCTGTTGAATACCAGTACCGTCACTAGCCATTGTATTCATAACAGTAAATTGTGAATTGAAAAATACTGACTAATTACCAGTAATTAAGTAAGAAATAGAATCCAGAATCAAATAAAGAAATATAACTTGATAGTGGATTATAAACAACACTTTGAATATGTTCAAAATGCACAAAAGAAATAAAAAATGTTTGAAATCAAGCACAAGGTCTTAACACTGTCATACCAAATCAAGAAGTGAAGATTGGGTTCAACTGCATATAGGGAATCAGCTGTGATAGGAGGGTTTGTCATACTCCTATTAGTAGAGGACTGTCACATGCTTAAATGCAGCTGAACCACGAGGAATTAGGTGGGAGTTTCAAGGCTAGTGGCAAGCAAAACTTTGTGCACTAGAGGGCAGTCAAACTGAGAATAGCTGGAAGTAATCGTATCGGAATAAAAAGTTTATTACTTTTATCTTTATTTTAATAACACAGATCACTACTTTATGCCCTTTTCATGTCCTCAACACCCTTATTAATATTAATCAATATTTCATGACAGTTATTCGTCTTGAAGATGACGCATCTTCTCCTTTCCCATGCACTCACTCAAGTAGAATCAATATTTACCTAGCTGCATCCCCCCTATCCTCATATCAAAAATTTAATATTATTGATATGTCTACCTCATCCTACACAATTCAAAGTAAATCATTATTTCAATACACTTTTTTCCTCAACATCTCACTCTTGGTATATTATGATTTTTCTTCTTTGCCAAGGCAAATCAATATTTCACAATATCTTATATATCTACTTTCCATGCCCTGTTTGCAGTTGCAGTGCTAATTAAAGAGGCTTAATATCTTGCCATTAGGAAAATCTGTATCCATTAAGTAAAAATTGACTAATAAGTGTTGCTTATTGTTGCTATTCATTTCTTTAACTTTTAAAGTTTTTTTTTCCAGTGCAACCTAAAATTGTTCTATACTTTTGAAATGTATCTAAGATTAAATGTTGTACAGACCACCTACAATATAAGAGAAAAAAATAACAAAAGTAATGATAAGGTTTTTTACATGATATGTTTTCTATTTTTTCTTATATAAAAGACCTCTGTCCTAATGTTATCATAAGTATTTGATCAGAAAATGTTCTACAAAAAAGAAATTTGTGAGCATCAGCATTTACATTATACTCAAAATTCATAACCATATTTTAAAGGTAAACAGTTCTATAAGATAACACGACAGTATATTAAAGTTGAGATTATAACTAATCTCTATACTCATAAATACATATATACCCACAAAAAAGTATGAAAAGTTTACATGTTTTCCAATGCATCTTAGCATCAAAACTTACTAAAATCTATATAATATAACCAATAAGGTTTCAGGCAAAAAGTTGCTGTGTCTTTTGAACAGCAAAAAAGATGGAACTCAAGCCTTAAAGTGTTCCTTATTGTCAAAAATCTTCTGACCCATATTTAAGCTTACAAATGAAATAAAAAGTCACAAGTGAGAATTATAAATAAAATGCCCAAGATTTCTCATAATTGACTATTTTATTTTGAACCAGTTCAATCTTGGTTGACAATGAACACATGTAACAGGCTGACTGACTTCTAAAAGCTAATCCACACACAGTTAATAAGTGGGAAATCTAGAATTAATTATGCTCCCCTGTGGTTTTGTGTATTCTGTAAGTACAAAATATTTTTTTTTATCTTACTCTCAGATACATTTGTTTTTGTTTCATGAAAGGCTTCCAGCTGTGCACTGTAAAATAATGCCTGCAAGTCTGCTCCTGAGAAGAATTCTGTTCTTTCAGCTATATCATGCAAGTCAACATCATCTGCTAGGACAAGACGTTGAGAGAGACACTTTAAAATGTCCTCTCTTTCATCCTAGGTTATAATGAATAAAATAAAGTGAGAATTCTGCTTCACATGAAAAATAAAAACAAAAAATGCTAATGTCAATTGCTTTAATTATATGTTTAAGATATTTAATACCAGCTGGTCTTAAAAAATTAAACATTCTGTGGCATTTAATTTAAATTCATTTTTTTTTTGTAAAAGTATGGATGAATTGCATAACATGATTCACAGAGGAACTGCTATAAAGAACAGATCTTGAATCAATACAAGTTAAATTTGGAATACTTACCAAGTTAGGAAGAGGGCAATGCAAACATTTGTCTAATCTTCCAGGTCTTAACAGAGCAGGATCAATTAGATCAGGACGACTTGTTGCAGCTAACACATATACACCTACAATGAAAAATAATTATAATGTTTGGTCATTTACAATATTTATTTACTAGACTTTAAGGAAAAATACAGGAAGTTATCACAATCTTTCAAAAAAAACATCTTTTAAAAAAAAGGTTTTCCAATTCTGGAATGAATATTAATACTTATCACGTATTAATGTAATTATATCAGAAAGAAAAACGAAATCTGAAACTCTTCAGAATATAATAGTATTTCAAACAGTCTGTGAAATGATAAAATTATCAACAGTAACCAATTATATAAATACTGAAGATTCATCATTTCAATGAAGCCATATTTGTGTTTATAGTTTGGTATATTTAAAACCAAACAAATTAATTATTTGTATAACATATATTAAACTACCATATTGTTTGGTACAATTTTCATACAACAAAATTTCATACAATAATTTTAGTATCATAGAATAATCTTTTATGTGCAGAAACATCTATTAGCTGAGTTCTTGCACAGATCTTAAAATATAACGTTGATAAATGGAAACATCGGCACATGTAGCAGATATTTCCTTTGCAACATCTCAACCAACAATTGGTC